TTACATATTGTAAAAACAAAGGTCATAGGTCACTTTTCTCAAAACTTCGTTTACGCAATCACAAACAAAAAATTGAAAAAATGGTAGATATACAAAAACACCAACCCCATTGGAACAACGTCTCTGTGAAATCTGTGATGTCTCAGAAGATGAACAACATTACGCACTGTTTTACATGATTCAACCAAGAAAGAGAATCACAAATAATCTTCAATCATGATAAAGAATTTGGTATACTCTGTTAAAAGGAACAGTTCTTAATAATTTTACCAACAGTTATCCAGAAACAACTTCCAAGATCTGTTATCATATCAACAATTACAAACTAATTCCTTGTATGTACAACATTACCATAGTTTTGCTCAATTCTCATATTGTTTCCATATCATTATAATATACTTGTTTTGAAATTAAATTGTTATAATGTACCACCTTTGTATGTTGAATGTTCCTGTGTTTTTAATTGTCATTTATTGTGCATGTATTTTGTAGTTTGGGATAGTGTAATATTGCCACTGTTTCTTCATGGAATGTTCCGCAATACAATTTCTCATATCAAACCCGTTGTTTTATATGTGTTGTTTATTAAACAAAGTTATACTTTATAGAAGTGTGGTATTTAATCGTGTTGAACAATATGTTGCAATAGCAATGTGAAGTTGAAAGACTGAGTGCGCGTGACAGGCTTGACCGAAATTCCTCCCTGGAACCTTTTTCGATGGCTGCCTGAATAAGATACGAAACATTGCGCAATAGAGTTGTTCGGGTAAGGGAGATAATCACTCACTCTCAGTGATACAGCTTGAATAAGATACGATGTACAGCATTGCAAGGTCAGTGCGTGATAAAGCTCTATAGTACGCCTATAGCTAAAGGAGATAATCGCTCAATGCGCAATAGTTTATTCTTACAAAATATAACCTGATAGCTAAATGAGATATATATTTCCCCTAAACATTTTCAGCTCTTTTAAAAACAAAATGAACAAATTGCATGGGTTATCTGCATTACGAAAAGTCTCAGAATAGCAAGACGATTTTGAAGCATCTCTTATTGCTTGAAAAGATTAGCATCAACATTTCACGCACATGATTTGTATGTTTCGTTTCGGTAACTGTGTGGCTTGAAATTTCAAAGAAACCAACATGTCGACATAAATGCTGTAAAATTAAACTTTCCCGTATACTTCCCCGCCTTAAAGGCGGGGTAGAATAAAAATAAAGTGACAAAAACCTTTCCCATATCCAATAGAAATCTCTGCATAAAGCAGAGTCGATTGTACGATTCCGACTATATCATGAGCATGTGTTTATGAATCACTATCAAATAGTAATGATACCAGGTGTTCGCGAAAAGTTGAGCGTATCCTGCCCCACCGGTGGCACCCGTCACAAACACATGCAAAGGCATGGTATGCTTAGGTACTATTCTGTCCTACAGGATCTATCGGTATGTAATTACCCAGAAGATATTAGCTTCTTTGCGTCACGAGTGAAATGTCAACTTTGCAGGTCACTAGGCGAGATAAACATATTTAACAAGGAAAATACAATTTTTATATGATTTTTCTTGCCTTTAGTATAGTATTTCATCACAAAATACATAATAAAAACATATTATTAACATAAAATCAGGGATATTGGACTTTAAAAAAAAAATATTTGACTCCTGAGAATAATCTACAATGTCCAGTCCAATACGTACACGTAATGATATTGTGTGTTGAAAGAAATATGCCAACAAAATAATCCTATGAAACAAATCAGGATGATATTTCAATTCCAGATGTGGAAACATGTGACTCGGTGACATAAGAAAAAAGTATGTGAACGCTGCATACATTTCTTCTAAATAGAATCAACGCTAACAGACAACTTGGGGGAGGTCAGCAATCCAGACGACGAACGTAAACGGTTTTAGCTCATCTGCATCCGAAGATCGGGTGAGCTAATGCATCATTGAGAAGTCAGGTTTTGAAAATTAATCGACCCCTTAAAACTTCCAAATTAAAGGTTTTTAAAATATATGTTTAATTTAAAATATTTCGTGATTGAATCTGTTCCCGTGCAGTGGTAGTCAACGATACATGTCACCTAGCAACTATTGTTGAATGGAATCGATTGGGACAGCATTCTTTTAAAGCTGAACACAATTAAATCACTAACATCGGAAAAGCCAAACTTTGCGTTCAGTGAAGTAAATGAAACACTTGATACAATCACATTGTTCTTTTTTTATGTAAGATATTATTTGCGGATTTCCCTGTTTGTACTTACTTATAACAAATATACACGAAATCGCCTACATTTCCATCTTTAGAAATTAATGTGACTGAAATATTGAACATTTGATAGAAGACAAAACAATGTAGGACGGACTGGCTTTAGTTGCAGCCGTGAGTCAACTTATTGATCGTCTTATTGACGTCGAATATCCAGCATACCCTTTGATGAAGTCTTTGATATTACACCCAAGTGAGTGAGTAAATGAGTGGATAATCTGGGATTCGAACTTACAACAAGGCTTACGATCTAGTGAAACAACTCTCAACGGCGAATTGTGTGGTCTTGCAGACCGCATAGCGTGGAACGGAATACGGAGCAGGCAAACCCATTTTATTTGTAGAAAGGCAATTTTACCTCCACTTGTAATGGTGACCTAGATTGTATGCATTGCCAAGTGGTTACATAACCCATGCTCTGTCCGCTGTATTGGTTATCAATACATATATATGTTATGCATGGGCACTGGAGGCCACAGCGCTACCCTAAGACATCCAGGCAAGGCAAGGGACACAGTAATCGCTGACACAGCTTATCGCTGGATGTGCAACATGATGAAAAACTGCACAAAACCGACAAAATCGAATCTGGAACAGATGTTTGCAGTGTATCGCTGAAATTCAAATAATTCAATGAAAATAGATATAAAAAAACTATACATATGAGCCGTGCAGTATATGGTGTAATAGATCCTTCAGATACCATATTAAATTCCCTTGGTCTTGCAACATATGGCTGACGCAAGTCATGAAACCACATTATTGGCAATTATGGCCGGTAACATCACGTATTTTTATCGTTAGTAACGCTTGTTACCTATCATTAGAATATAGATTATATCATAAGTCGGAGCTCCATTGAAGTGTTTGACATGCGCGTGTGTGTTATATCATGCCCGTTGCGACTGTCTCTATACCAGGATATATGAAGACCGTGTACAGGTAATATGTGACCAATAAACGGGATTACAGCGTGAACAGTGTATTATAGACCGTTCTTTAAAAGCTGTTTGATGGAACGTTAGGAGTGTATGATTAATTGAGTTGTGATTAATGCCAGTAAAAGAATATGTGTTTTGTCACATGGCGTCAGTTTAATGCGGGGAGACTTCCAAGGTGACATAATTGTCAGGTGAGGTGAAATGGGGTTTAACGTCGCGTTCAAGATTATTGCACTTATATAGCGACGTTCATGCACGCGTATATGTGTGTGTGTGGCTGCTTGTACTAGTCCGGACTGATGCCGATTTATAGTGCTAGCACACTGAGATACCATGCCTCAGTTTAACATGAATACCCCACTCAGACACAGTATACTGACTCCGAGCCGACCAGTCCTTGTTTTAGACCCTTAATGCCGAGCACCAGACAGGGTAACAACAAGTACCATCTTTTAATGTCTTTTGGTATGACGCGGCTGGGGATCGAACCCCGGACCTTCCGCTCTCCGGGCGGACGGCTCTACCATGAGACCACGGAGGCGGTCTAATGGTCAGTAAAACTACTTCTACTACTACTACTACTACTACTTATAATAATAATAATAATAATAATAATAATAATTTAATAATAATAATAATAATAATGGGCCATTTTATGGCGCTTTTTACATACGAATATCACGCTTAAAAACAAACAAGAAATAGTTATTCGATGGTGATGTATTTGATAAGGGCGTAATACTTGTGTTTTTCACCTTACGTCTGCAGTGTTTCGGCGACTGTTTTCAGCCTAGTAACGTTTTGAAAACGTCAAATCCAATTTTCAGGTGTATACATTCTTTTGCCCAGCAGTTTACACGAATGTATACGAATAAATCAGTTAACGTTGATATCCTTGATATTTCTCCTACAATTTCATCATAGTGCAGTATAACATCAGTTTGTTCTTCATATGCTGTTGGCTATTACAACAATGTCTTCAACTAAAGGCATTCATTATGTTACCTTGTTACCATCGTGTGCGTCGACATCACAACTAGACAACAAACTATGAAAAGAGTTTATCTCAAGGAAGAGGGCGTCTACGATGTTTTCTTTTTCTTTTTTTAAAAGTGGCCCTTATTTTCATTTATTGGTTGTGGTGGTGTTATAACAAGATACTGACAGCCACTGATTCTGTCAATTGCCTATTTAAAACTGTAATATTCAGGTCCACACTTACCCGCTCACCCATACATTAATCACCACCGTCTTAACGTGAAAGCGCCGAATGCAAGAATCAAAACACATGCTCGTCTAGTGACTAGATCTGACTGGTATCTGACTACTATGTAGTCGATCGTTATCTGCAGGCTGGAAGACCTAGGTAACACGTGACCGAGGTAGGCACAAAGTGATCCTTTTTCCCCACGTGACAACATCCTCATAACTACCACTTCATCATCTGTTTTCAAAGCATCTCGCAAAACAAGGACTGCGTAAAAAACCCTGTGATGGTTACCTTAAGCAAATCACGTCTGCCTCACTTTGGGATCAAGCAGCAGTTGGGATGAACTGTCGAGGGTTACCTTTAAGACATTACAGTGAGTGAGTTACGCCGCTTTTAGCATTATCCCAGCAATATCACGGCGGGGGACACCAGAAATCGGCTCCACACATTGTACCCATGTCGGGAATCGAACCCGGGTCTTCGGCGTGACGAGCGAACGCTTTAACCACTAGGCTACCCGACCGCCCTTAAGACATTACACATTAGACAAACAACTAAACATACGAACCCAGGAATTCTTCAATATGACTTCGTAAAGTGCCCATGCGGGTCCTCTCTGCTTCCGCCTCCAGTTTGGAGAAGATAACGCCTCCCATACAGAGGTAGAATACATTTATAACAACAAGGATGATGAGACGTCTCGTCCCAGGTTCCATCGTCAGAGCTACGGCAGGTCCAACTTATACTCCAGAGTAGTTGTTTCTCTTGATTGGTCAATTGTTTGCACACTATTTTAAATCTCCGTGCCAGGTCCAGGGTAGGTTAAGATCTTCACGAATGTGATGTGATAATTGTGTTGACCTTAACCAAAACTACTTGTAAACGTCAGTCACACCTCTTCAGGATTTACTCCCTGGTATCATGGACGAACTGTTGTCAAACAAATGTTGCTTTGACTCCGTAATATTTCTCATAGATGTAGGTGGTCGGTGTTATCCCTATTATAGAACAGATGTAACCAACATATGGTGGTCCTGTTCGCACAGCACTTTACATGCCTGAAGTCCAGATGATAACGCTGGTTGTAGTTGTGAACACTGTAACACCATGTCAAAGGAAGACGGTCTTATTTGAATACTCCCTGTGGAATAGAGGCCATTGACGTTCTAAGACCTATTGTGTCTCGTAGATATATATTCCACCGGACGCCAAGGAAAGGGTCATTTGCATGTGTAACCGTTTTATCAAGCCAGTGTGGATACATGAAATATTCACGTTGAGCATAAAGCGTTGACTGTCATCTTCTGTTACAAAAATATGTTTGAGACGAAAAGGTACTGTGGTATGATCAATGCAGTGGTTAGATGCGTTCAAAAGTGAACTACAGGAGGACATCGGTTGTCTGAAAAACAATATCCGAAGGGTTCAATGACCTATGTCCATTTAACATATAATCACATATACCGAATTGTCAAAATATCCATATGACATATTACTGTCTATAGGCAAGCGTCCTCCCAGGTTGGTATTCATAAAACTTACATTGTCTTTAAACCATCTCAGCTTCAGTGGAGACACGATCTTCAACCGGGTTGAAATACCTTCATGGTATACACTTGTGGTCACTCGGCACGCTTCGTTCTCGTGTTCCGTATTGTGTGTTCCGCATGCGTTGTCACATCCACCTTTGATACAATCTATCGGCGCTTACACATCTCTATGGGCTTTTCCGGAAATCGTCTGCTAATGCTTCCCTCGAGAGCGCGTGTATTATCGTCTGCTATTGACTGCAGACGACGCTTTAGTGTACACGCGAGAAGGCGAACATTATAGTCAATCCTATTCAATCAGCGGGTTGTAAACATAGCAAATTTTCTCTGTGTATCATAAATACCGTGTTATATATTCCTATGCGACAACACAGTCACGTTGATTACCCGTATGCTATAACCCACAACAATATATTATCACAGCATTAACTAGTACCCAGTGAAAGTCACCTGGTCGGAAAATATGACGTGAAAAAAATGATTTTATGTCACATCTGTTTGTGACTATCCACTGTAAATAATTCATGCTTGTAAAATGCGAGCAATCACCAGCAGCGTGCATCATGTCAAATACGGACTCGTTTTACCTGCTGACAACGCTAAGGTAACGGCAGACGTCTGTTTACAGGGCAAGAGTAAAGAAGCTGGGCTCAGGTCCAGGCAAAGTAGACACTGAAGTGTTCAGCCTTATTGTGTGATACAGCCTTAAATAACAAATGGAAAGTGCGGGTGGCCCAGTCAAATGGTACAAATGCAGTCGCTCAGACATGACACCGATTTATTCCTAAATTGATATGTATTTTAAGATAAATTTCTGCGCACTATTTAGTTAAGTATACCAGAGTGAGTGAGTGAGTATGGTTTTACGCCGCTTTTAGCAATATTCCAGCAATATCACGGCGGGGGACACCAGAAATGGGCTTCACACATTGTACCCATGTCGGGAATCGAACCCGGGTCTTCGGCGTGACGAGCGAGCGCTTTAACCACTAGGCTACCCGACCGCCCCAAAGTATACCAGAAGCTTAATTCGAAACAAAATAACACATAATACATGTGCAAATAAATCACAGATGTAATTTCCTAGCTTGGAGGTGCCATTTTTCATTTGCCGGTGAATAATATTTCCATCAAGAAAATGTTAAACTAAGATATGTGTAACAATGTCAGAAATGCTAATTATCATTCTGAAAACTTCAGTATAGTCCTCCTATTTCAATGCCATAAATCCTGCATGTGAGCCAGAATTGAATTGTCAAAAATACTTAAATATTTTGTAGGTAGATGTTGTGAAATTTACGTTATGCTAACTTTCATGATGCTTAGTTCAACTGTTTTTATCATATTTTGCAACCGAACAGATTTTTTCAAAGCTGGAAGAAACATACAATAAGTATATACCTTGTAAAATACAACAAAAGCTATAGTTGGTAAGAACTTGTTCGTTAATGAGAAATTTTCAAAGCGATTTCTTTAAGGATGTAATTATACGTGACAGCTAGTGAAAGGTAATCTGAATTTGAATTAGTTTATGCCTATGGTCATGTACAGGGCTTCTATATCCACAAATATTTCGTAAAAGAACAGTGCCAAATCGCAGCTTATATATCTGGATATTGAACCATCGAAGTTCGGATGTAATTTACATTTAGTAATTAACGTTTGATAAGCATTCGAAAAAAACCCGTTTAGTAGTAAATGTAAACCCCCAAAACTATGTAAACACACGTGTTTGTACCACTGGCCATTGCATCGCGCCTTATGATGTCACTGGAAACATCTAGAGGTTTGGCTTATCCATGTTGTTCAGTACAACGTAAATTACGAACTCTGTGACGTAAATTTCTCGTGATGGGATCTTCATTTACTGCTATTTAACTTCATAAAATCTGACAAATCTTTGTTTTATTTTGTGCTTAGAAGTGTCATCAGTTTAAATAACCCGCCAGATTAAATTCAAATATCGAGTTGTTATCATTTTTAGTCAAATTCAATGACAGATCATTTATTGTTGGGAATTCTTCAAACAACCCACCGCCAGGAGCCGTATTTTAAAATGTATTCGAGATTAATTGTGAATTGTATTTGTAAAATTATTCACTGGGTCAGAATACACTTAAATAGAATTGGTTGAGGAAGTAATTTCAAATGCAAACTAACAGTTTTCAGAGTGACGTAAATTACAACGTAAATTACACATTCAGTATGGAATAGATGAGTGTCAATATATTAAAGTAAACTGAACCAATGCAACAGCAATCGTTTGAAGGTGTTTTTATATGCTGCTACTTCAAACTAGACTCTTTATTGCAGACAATATTGCAAAATTGTTTAGATTTAAAATTTACGTCACGGTCATAAGTACTTTGTTACTGTTTAAACTCTGTTTGTTTCTCTGAATGTGAGAACCAGGTATATTTTCATATTGGTACGTTATATGACTTCCCAGTGACATTTAAAAATATTTTGATGTATGAAGACTTGCATTCACGGGATCCGTGATGAGGCTTAAATGTTGTCCTCAGGTTTAAACTCTTGCATATGCAAATAAAGTAGACATCATTAAAAGTTATTGTGCGTGAAATATCTAGTTTCCGTTTAGTCTATAAAATATGTTGCATTGTCCATCAGGTTCTTGAGGAATTGTGATAGAATCTGTAATGTTTGACCAGGTTTTGTTATGTAAATTACACTGTGATATCAGGGTATATTATAGGTCACTCTGTATTACTTGGGTCACGACACTATTTGTCCTTCAGTGCGGAATTTATGGTTATAGTAGTGTTGAAGTTTCTTCTTTATGAAAATAAAAAGTTTTCATGAAAAATCAAAACTTTATTTTTAACCTTTGCTCAGCTTATTGTTCCATTTGACTGAGAATGACTGCAACTCATTAAAGTCAGATCTTAATAAGCGGTAGCCAGCACGAAAATCTAACTTTAATGAGATTGGGGTGGCACTGGTCTGAAGCACCACAGTTTGCAATGCAGTGTTGCGTCCCTTACATATTCCCGGATCTGCTAAAAGTGACTCGACACGTAATAAGTTATTCTTGGCCCATCACCAACATGTAACAAATGTTATATTTGGGATTACACTTTCTTAGTAAAGTACAGATTCTAGTACTTTTTTGGGTTGAGTCCCGTCCGGGATTCGAACCCACACTTGCCAGAGTGAGGCACCTAATCGCCAGCACACAAAGTCAGCGATCTAACCCACTCAGCCATATATATAACATGTGTTACATTTGACCACTTTCTAAATGGCATTGTGTATTCATAGCTTTCGGCCATGGGAGCCGACAAAGAAATTTTAAATATGGACCGTATGCTCCACCGGCTATTCCAAGTCTAAGTCTAAACGGTGTAATTAGTATCTGGCGTCAAACTAAGACACAGACACTGTGTTATTAGGTTAATTGTTACTAACTAGATTGGTACACATGAAAATAGTTTAGGTTGCAGACAATTATATAGGTTTTTCAACGACTCGAAGCCAAATTGCTCCCATGTTGTGATGATGTGTATCAGCATGCAGTGTAGCAGCATGTACAGTTCCAGCTCCCTGTATGCACCACAGGGTCAACAATTGTTTCTGCCATCTGTTGTCACAAACTGGAAACCACTGGAGGATGACCAAGGGCAGAGATGAATACTCCATGGTTTTTATTTAATTTTCCATTTTTTTAATGAATTTTTTAAACCCTAACGTCCGTCCGAAAACTTTGTCAGCGCGATTTCTCTTAATATTTTCAGTGGATTCATCTCAAACTTAGTACATATAATCTGTGTCATATGGAGGGGTGCAGTCAAAAGAAAAAAATGTTTTTATTAATTTTCCATTTTTTTATGAATTTTTCAAACCCTAACGTCCGTCTGAAAACTTTGCCCGCGCGATTTCTCTTAAACTATTTAGTGGATTCATCTCAAACTTAGTACATATAATCTGTGTCAAATGGAGGGGTGCAGTCAAAAGATAAAAATTGTTTTTATTAATTTTCCATTTTTTTATGAATTTTTCAAACCCTAAAACTAACCCTATCCTAGCTATTTAATTTGTTACTACTGACACACTAGTTTTTCATTGACCTACCATCAGAGGTCACGTATATAAGTAAAAAGCGGAATACAAAATGATAAAATATATGTTGTCTGTATCTTCCACTCCGGTCTATACGCACAGAAAATAAACGATTGATCGAACTGAACACTTTTATTGGTTATTTCACATATATAATATGTTTTTGCATATTCATCTTCATAATATTAATACCAAACATTCGAACGTGAATTAGGAGATAAACATACAGTGTTTTCAATGTAGAGCTAGGTTACCTGTAGATTTAACCCCGCTAAATTGAATTTGGAACCGAACGCGCAGCGTGAGGTTTCAAATGTTAAATTTAGCGCGGTTAAATCTACAGGTAACCTAGCTCTACATTGAAAACACAGCATGTTTATCTCCATTCTACCATGACTAAATAAAATGCGAACTCTTTGGTGTTAGCAAATATACTGAGTGAAGCGGCATGGGTTGAGTTCAGTGTTTTGAGTGGGTTATCGATCTGAATTACGGAATCACCGAACAAATTATGGTGCCGTATATACTCAAGCAGTTTGTTTACACCGTAATACTTCACTCTAACATATGACAGGCATTGAAAGCATATAAGCACGGCAGCTTGGTAAGCTGACATGAGGTGGGCATCCCTAAAGAAAACAAAGCAAGCTTTGCAAGGCTTTCGCTCTACATCGCGCGTCACCATTATGACGTCATATCGCTCATTGTGACGCGAAAGAAATGACGTCACAGTCGTATATAGAAAAGCGCCAAAATTCCAAGCTCTCTGTGTCTCCAAAACGTAAAATCATTCCCTGTGTAGATTTCTATCGTGTTTTCTGCACGAAATGTATTGCCACACATCCTTTGAATATTGTAGTAACCGCGTCTGTGCATTTTGTAACCTGTAATTACAGATATAATTATTTAAATATGCCTACCGACACTGACTGAAAATAGTACTATTCTATGAATATTAGCTTCCGCGGTGATGAGGCCGTCAAACCAACTGTTTCAATCAGAGGGGGTTTATTGTGATTTAATAGCCTCTGATTGACCAATCAGCATCGAGTAAATTCCAAATTCATGGTAGAATGTATTATGACCGTGCCACATTGCTGTGTTATTTATTTCACGATAAAACATTGTTCTATCATGACGTCATTTCTGCAGATTCGAACATGCGCTCGCAACTTGATGACGTCGTAAACTGGACGACGTCATTTTTGAGAAGGAGGTGTCTAGTGAGCTAATCCT